ATAAGATTATCTGTGCTTCCCTATGAGTTGATGATCAAGCAGTAAGGAGGAGCAAGGTTCTCCATATCTACAGATGGATGATAGGTCAATATTGCACTGCCATAAGCACAGCATTCCACAGGGTGTAGTTACACGCAAGCCAGAAGATGCCAGGAAAAAAATAAAGATAGAGAAAAATGATATGACCATCTAGGAATGAGGCAAGATGTGGCTTTGTAAATGGAAAAAAACTGACAGGAAAAAATCCCAATGTACTTTTTTTTCTTTTACAAAACCCGAAACAGCATTTAAGAAACTGAACATCTTATCCTTGCTGATACACAGAGCCAAAGCTTGTCTCTTTGTCACACATTAACAACTGGTGCATAGGTTCACTGAAAGAAAAGGGGCTAAGACAAAAGAGGCCAACACTAAGAGACTTAACAGCTATCCAACAGATGTAGAACAAAATTTGGAAACAAGCCAGCAGATTCCTACAGCCCATAGTGAGACACTGGTTGTAGGGGAGGAAAATACGCCTCCCAACCTCAGAACGTTGCAGTTTTCAACAGACATCTGCCCACAAGAAGTGGGCCTGGTTTGGATGATTTGAGCTCCGTACTTGCTGGTGGCCTATATCTAACAAGTAATGTTCCAGTGACTAAATACAGGACTTAATCATGCAAATAAATCTGTGTGAATGGCAGACCACCTGGATATTTAAGAAATACAACAACAATACAATTCTTGTTTCTAAATTCTATAAAGCTCGAGGATAGAAAGTTATATGTCCAGCATCTACACCAATAAGTGGCACTATCTTAGTGTTCAGTGGTCCCTTTGTTTTAGCTGATGTTGGTGTCTGACCTGGGCCAGAAGAGAGCTAAGTCTTGCCTGTCATTCAGAATCGTCTTGTTGTGTTCCGATAAGCCCATATTACAGCTTCTCTTTTCACAGGAAGTCCCATCAATAGCGCATGGGTTTTATTTGCATTAACTTTCCATAAGCCTGACAGCATGCCCACGTGGCACATCTATTCCACGTTGTTACAGTGGTGAAGGTTTTTAGAAAATCCAGCATATTAACTCCCTGACCAGCGCGCGCGCGCGCACACACACACACACACTCTCTCCTCAGTTATACCAAAGAGCTGCCCGAAGCATTAACTCTGATGCGGAGCTTCCCATGAGTCAATCAGCAGCATTGCTGGGAAGGACAGCCCTGCTCCCAGAACTCTG